TGAGCTGGGCTGGCCTGGGCTGAACAGAGATAGAGTAGCTAGGATGAGCTGGGTGAGCTGGGTTGGCCTGGGCTGAGCTGGACTAGCTGAGCTCAACTGGCCTGGGCTGAGCTGAGCTGAATTGGACTGAGCTTGAGTAGCTAGGATGAGCTGGGCGAGCTGAGCTGGACTGAAGTGAGCTGAGCTGGGTTGGGCTGAATTGAACTGGGCTGGTATGAGCTAGACCAGCTAGGATGAGCTGGGCTAGCAGGGTTGAGGTAGGCTGAACTAATCTGAGTGGAACTGGTCTAGCTGTGCTGAGCTGAACAGAGCTGGGTTGAGCTGAATGGAGCTGTGTTCACTGGGATGAGCTGGGCTAAGCTGAGCTGAATCAGGCTGGCCTAACAAGACTCAGTTGTGCTAGCTGAGCTGGGCTGAGGTAGGATAGCTATAGAATGAGCTGAGGTGGCTGTGCTGAGCCAAACTATGCTAAATGGGATGAATTAGGCTAGCTGGGATTGCAGGGCTAGGTGAGCTGTGGTGAGCTAAATGAAGCTGGGCTGGGCTAAACTGAACCAGGCTCAGCTAGCTGGGTTGAGCTAAAACAAGCGAGGCTGGGTTATGCTGAATCGTGGTGGGGTAACGTGTGAACTGGGTTGGTTGGGTTGGACTTGGATGGGCTGGGCTGGGCTGGACTGAGCTGGACTAGCTGGGATGTTTTGAATCAAGCTGGGCTAACCGGGATGAGCTGGATTAGCTGGGCTGGACCCAGCTGAGGTGAGCTGAACAGACTTGGGCTGTGTTGAACCAAGCTGTACCTTTCTGAGCAAAAGTAGGCTGGCTGGGCTGGACTGGGCTGACCTCAGCTTCACTAGACTGGGCTAAACCAAGCTCTGCTAAGCTGTTCTGAGCTGGAATGAGCCGGGCTGATCTAGGCTAGTTAGGGTGATTTATACTGAGCCAGAATCACCTGGGCTAAGCTGAGTGAGGCCAAACAAAGTTCGGCTAGTCGTGTAAAATTTGTTGGGCGGACCTGGGTTTGTGTGGACAAGCTTGGCTGCGATGGGTTGAGCTCATCTGGGATAAGCTGGTCTGAGCTAGGCTTAGCTGGCTATATGAAATAGCAGAACCATGCAGAGCTGAGTTGAGGTAGCTGCATTGAGCTGTGCTAAGCTAAGTTGGGCTGGGCTAGCTAGGGTGGACTGAGCTTGGGTGGGCTGGCCTGAACTGAAGTGGGCTGAGTTGGGCTATATTGATTTGGACTTGGCAGGACCAAGCTGGGCTGAGCAGGGCTAGGCTAGTGTTCTGAGCTGGGTGAGCATCACTGAACTTGGTAGAAATGGACTCAGGTGAGCTAGGCTGAGATTAATTGAGCTAAGTATCAAGCGGTGCTGGGATAGGTTGAATTAGCCAGAGCTGAGCTGAGCTGAGCTGGGTTGGGTTGGGTTGGGCTGTATGGAACTGGGATGGCTGAAGCTGGGTTGAACCAAGCTTAACTAAGCTGAGATGAACAGAGTCAGGTTGGATGATGCAGAGTTTATCTGAGCTAAGCCAAGTTGGACCACCTGAGCTCAGTTGGGCTGGCCATAACTAGGCTGGGCTGGACTGAGTTTGTCTGTGGTTGGCAAG